ATCTTTGTTTTTTCCCTAATCTTAGGAGGAAAGCATTCAGTCTCTCAACATTAAGTATGTTAGCTGTGGGATTTTTGTAGATGCTTTTTGTCAGGTTAAGTTCCATTCTATTTCTAGTTTGTTGAATTTTTTTTTTTAATCATGAACGGGTATAAGATTTTTAAATAATCCTTAAAAAGTGACCCTTCTCCCCTGTGGATGAATTAGTAAAAGATATCTCTCTCTGCATGGATGATATATTGGGTTGTCAGAAAAGTCATGATGCATTTTTGCAACGAAAAACAGAAAAAGTATGTCATTGACTTTTCTGACAACCCAATAGAAAAAGGCACATCCTACCCTTTAAGTGGATGTTTTAGAAAAAGGCATCCCCTTCTTCCCCCTTTGGGTGGACACAGTCCCTTACTGGTGTGTTTGACTTGGTGAACCAAGTGCTCCTCTCTCACCTGTGCACCCTTATTGAGGACCTAATTTGTACATGGTGGTCTTGTCCCACAATCACTTTTCTCAACATCTGGTTTACTAGTGCCTGGAAACACTCTTATTCAATTTGTTTCCCCCCAGAGATTTCATGCCAATGGGTGAGGTGTGGGTGAGGCACAGATATAAAATCTCACTTTGATTTTAAGCAATCAATATATTTTTAGTCTACTGCAATACCCCTGCCTTCTGTGGCCTCTGGTATCCCCAATTCCTGAGCTTCTCTGGTATTTATTCTCTTTCTGAGTTCAGTCTTCCTCTGCTCTGCTAAGTCACTTGTCTTTTTTCTATCCACTTTCCATTGATTCTTTGTGATTTAGAGTTATAGATATCTCCTAGTTCAAAGAAGATGGAGTTTGTGTTTCTATTTCTTGTTCTCCTTGTTTTGGAAAGGAAAATTTTCTTCAGAAAAAGAGAAGAACTATTTTTGCTCTCATGAAATCAGAATTCAATGCCTTCTTTCAAGAAGTGTATAAACCTAATGCCCAAAATGATAAAATAAATTACTTCATCCCTAGGATAGTTAATGAAAGAGCTAAAACCAGAATTCAGAACTAATTTCCTGGTCAAAATTGAAGCATGATTTGTTCTTTCTTCATGGAAGCATAGAGTTGGCAGGTACATTTGAGGTCCTAGGCCATTTTCCTCAGGTTTTCCACAAATTTCCTTAGCATTATAAGAGGATTTTAGTATTGGTTAAAATATTAATGTGAATGGGAGAATTCACTATCCCATGTCTGTCTAGTCTTATTTCAGAGAGCTTTGATTACTGAAAATATTTTTTTCCTCTGAAACATTTTTATTCACTTTCATAAATTGCATCTAGTTCTGCTCTCTTTAGGTTACTAAACTCACTGCCTCTAATTTTTTGTCCAGCTTAGAACTAGACAGTTCACCAGAAAAATGGAAAGAAAGCTCAAATCTCATATAACAAAGGTTGAGACAATTAATAAACAACTGTAGTTAAAAAAAAAAATTCCAAGCTAGCCAGCCCTCAATCCATTAAATAAGACTGCTGTATAAGAAAAGGAATGACTATGTACCACATCTTCTTTATCCAATCATCTATCAAAGGACACTTTGGTTGTTTTCATGTTTTGGCCACGATGAATAAAGCTGCAATGAACACAGGTGTACATATATCTTTAGGGATACATGTTTTCAGATTTTTTTGGGGTAGATACCCAGAAGAGGGGTCACTGGGTCATATGGAAATTCTAATCTTAATTTTTTAAGGAACCTCCATACTGTATTCCATCATGGCCATACCAATTTAATTACCACCAGCAGTGTATGAGGGTTCCTTTTTCTCCACAACCTCTCCAACACTTATTATTTATCTTGTTGATACTGTGTTTCCCCCCAAATAAGACCGGGTCTTATATTAATTTTTGCTCCAACAATCTACATTTATTCATGTACAAAAATCTACATTTATTCAAACAGTCATGTCTGGCTGATGATATTAACTGGGGCTTATGTTTGGAGTAGGGCTTATATTACGAGCATCCTGAAAAATCATGCTAGGACTTATTTTCCAGTTAGGTCTTATTTTCAGGGAAACATGGTAACAGCCATTCTAATAGATGTGATATGGTTCTGATTTGCATTCCCGAATAGCTATTGAAGTTGACAATCTTTTCATATATACAATTGAATATTATTCAGCCATAAGAAACGATGAAATACTGCCACTTGTGACAACATGGATCGATCTTGAGAGTGTCATGCTAAGTGAAATAAGTCAGACAGAAAAAGTCGAGAACCATATGATTTCACTGATGTGGGATAGAAAACTGAAAGCAAGAAACAAACAAGATAAACAAGCAAAAGTCATAGACACAGACAACAGTTTGGTGGTTACCAGAGGGTAAAGGGGGAAGATGGAAGGTAAAAGAGGGTAAAAGGGGTCAAATAAATGGTGATGGACAGAGATTTGACTTTGGGTGGTGAGTACACAATGCATAGATGATGGATTATGGAATTATACACTTGAAACCTATATAATTGTATTGACCAATGTCACCCCGATAAAATTTAATTTAAAAAACCTAAAAAAAGAGAGAGAAGGAATGACTTATTATCAGATAGATCATGGAAAGCTTTCTAAAGAAAACATTCAACCCAGTTGGGAGAATGTATAAGAAATTGCCATGAATATTACAGGCAAACAAAACAAGTTACATGAGCAGAGAAAGGTTGGAAAGTACGTGTTGCTCAGAGAGTCAAAAGTATGGTTAGAGTATGTAAAGAAAAACAACCCTGTTCTTTCTCCCATGTTTCTCCTTTACTCTTATACTGCTACCACATTGATAACACTTCTGACACCAGATGGGCTGTTGTTTTTCACACTAAGCAATTCTGTGACACCAGCTGGATGTCCTGAAATTTAACTCAATTCTAACACAACCCACCTGGAGATAGGTTAAGGGCTCAGTCCCGCAAGACTGCCCCCCACTTCAGATGCCAACTGCAAGGAATAGGTCCCAGGTTACCCCCAACTTCTGTCCAACATGGCTACAAATAGAAAGCTCCCATGACCTCCTGCTTGAATTAGATTATTTACTATAACAGCTCACAGAATTGAAGGAAACACGTTTACCAGTTTATGAAAGGATATGCTAAAAGACATAGATAAACAGCCAGATGAAGAGATACATAGGGTGAGAGCTGGGAGTCTGAAGCGTAGGAGCTCCTGTCCTCTAAGAGTTAGGGTACATCACCGTTCTGGTTAATGAATGTCTTCATCAACCTGGAAGCTCTCCAAATCCCATACTATTGGGATTTTATGGAGTCTTCCTCATGTAGGCATGATCAATCAACTCCATTTCCAGCCTCTCTCCCCTCTCTGGAAAATGCAGAATGAGGCTGAAAATGCCAATCTTCTAACCATTGGTTGGTCTTTTGGTGACCAGACCTCATCTAGGAGCCATATAGGAGCCACCCAGAGTAACCTCAGAACAAAAGATGTTCCTAGTGCTCTTATCACTTAGGGATTTACAAAGGTTTCAGGAGCCCTGTGTCAGGAACAGGGACAGAGACCTATATATTTACTTCTTATTACAGGGTACAAGGTGGGATGAATACATGGAAAACTAGTCAGGAAAGGTAATAATGCTGAAGATACTAAACTAACATTTTATTGAGCTATAGTCTGGCTTCTATTTCATACTTCACATGTAAGAACCTTCATAACAACCTTATGATGTAGATACTGTTATTATCCCATTTTACAGATGGGGAAAAGGAGGCATGGAAATATTAGTTTAACTTGTCTAAGATTCTATAGCTAATAAATGAGATATGGGGTCTGAAGCCAGGCAGGTTGTCCCCCCCTCAAGAAATGGTCTTATCATGAATGGCCTTTTTATTCTGAAGGTTCTGGGACATTTTAGGTAGAAAGTTGGAGCTATTGGTTAAGAGATCCTCTTCTATCTCTTCATCTTGGCTTGGCTATCTCAAAGGAGTATCTGAGGTAAGACAGGTGGTCCAAATTTATGGAGCCAGAGGGGGAGGCCAGAGGACTGTCCCAAACACTCTGATCTTCTACATATAACCTCAGGTTGGGAGGACAGACCTGCTGATGGCTGGTTGATTAAGCACATATATTTCAGGTTAGGCAGAGAGCCTCCTGGAGGGGATATCCTATCTTCCTATAGAAAAGGAAAGGGCATTGAAGCTCTGAGAAGTACAATGACTATCAGTGGCAATCAGTACTTGATTCCAGTTGTTTTGGCTATTGTTTTTAATTTCCTATGACCCTTTTCTGAAAATGACAATAGAAAAAAATAAGACATTTTACAATAAAACCCCCATTAATTAAGCACTGCCAGGCTCTATTCTAAGTGATTTGTATACACATAGGGTACCAAAAAAATGTATACACATTGTAAGAAAGGAAAAAACTATTAAAATTGTAATACTCAATATCTACTGACAAAAGATGAATACAAGTAACGCTTGACTTCTGTAATTACACGAGGTGCTCAAAGTGGTTACCATCAGCGTCCAGACACTTCTTATTACGGCGAACTACTGCTTGAGCAACGTTGACCAGTGTCCACTTGTATACATTTTTTTGGCACCCCCAGTATATTAATTCATTTAATCCTCACAGCAACTCTAGGATTATAGAGTTATTACATTACATTATATATTACATTATATATTACATTATTATATATATTATTATATATATAATATAATATATACATTATTATATATATAATGTAATATATATATTACATTAATATTCTTATTTTACAATAGCACAAAGGTATTATATAACTTGCTTAGAGCGTTACAGCAAATAAGTGACAGAGTTAAGTGAAGCGGGAAAGAACTACAATACAAAACAGTACGTTAAAAATTAGTAGTTCTGAACTACCGTGCCGCAGAAAGAGCCCTTAATTTGGATCAGGACTTGGAGTCAGGATCCAACCCTTCTTGCTGTGTAAAGATCTGGGGTTAGTCACTCTGGGCAATTTCCTCTACTACAAAATGGAGATAATAATACCTACCTTACAGGGTTTTGTAAGGATCTAGTGAAGTGATGATTGTAAAAGCGCACTCGGAGAACCATCTCCCCTCATTGGATTCAGAATTGGGATTCCGGCTATCAATCCCAACAAGTCCTCCCGGAAACTCGTGCAAGGCCCTCTGGGACTTGTAGTCTTGTACCGGCTGTAGCTCGCCTTTCTCCCTTAATTGGGGAGGCTGGGTATAAGCCCCGGAAGTACTCGTCGCCTGAGAGGCGTGCCGTTTAGGAAGGGGTGTCAGAGGTCGCAGGGGCACAAGGCGTTCCTGACCCTGGCATAGTCGCTATGTAGTGGCGGGGCTGGCGTTCTCCTGCATATTCTGGAAGGCTCTTAGGCTCTACCGGCGTCGTAGCCCCAGGACTTCTAGTCGCCATCTTCCGGTCCCTGCCTCCTGAGCGGAGCCGCCGCCGCCATGTTTGGCTGCTTGGTGGCGGGAAGGCTGGTGAGGATGGGGCCGGGTGGTATCGGGAAGGGGGCAGGACACCTAGGGCAAAGCTCAGGGAAGAAGAAGGTGTGGTTTGAGGGATGCGGGGAAACCCCCTCATATCTACTTTTCCGCTGAGAGTGTGGGGGTGGAGAGTGGGACGCTAGGGTGTGCGTTCCTCTTTGCCCCCAGCTGTCTTCAGAGCCATGTGAGTGGTGGTCACCAGCATTACCGGCCGTTTATTGAGTGTGCATTAGGCAATGCATGCCTTTTGTCCATTTCTTGTCATTTTAAGCCTTCTATCTAGCGAATATTTGGCACCTCAAACTTAACCCTAACAACTTGTGAGATGGTTATTAACATTCCATCCATTTTGCAGTTGAGAAACTGAAGCTCGATGGGCATTATAAGGACTCGTCTGAACTCATAGAGTGAGTTAGACGTAAATTTGGCATTTGAATCTAGTCCTGTTTCTCACAGATTAAGGTGCTTGGGCAATGCATATCTGCTGGGTTGTTTTTGGAAGGGCCCTAGTAGAAACGTGCTTAACGCTAATTGTAAGTCGGCTGATACAAAAACGCCTGAAACGTAAGAGTAACTATGTCTGAGATGATCCTTGAAGGATGTAAACAGTCATTGGTCAGAAGAGATAATAACCTTCCTTGCGGATTATTAGAATTAAGTGAGATCAACAATTGTTCAGGAACAATCAGGAAGGTGAATTTTGCTTGCCTCCTTAGAAACCACCTAGAAATCCATTTCAGATATGACTCCTTTCACGTGGAGTTCTTTTTCTTACTTTTTTCCTCCCTGCTTTGTTAAATGCTGCAGTTCATTTGTTGAATGTTAAATTTTTAATAAGTTTTCGATAATGTATTCTGTACACAGTTCTAAGGAATCACAAAGATAAATTGGACACACTAGCTGGCCTCATAAATTTTATAATCTTGAATGACTTGGGAGGCCTTTTTTGGTGATGATGATAATTGCTAACACTGGTGAGATAACTTTGGATTGCCCATGCTCTTGACAGGAAAAATAAAAGGAACAGCCTGGGATGAGTGTGGGACTCGGATTAATAAGTGTCATTGAGTGACATTTAAAGTGTGTGTGTTTTCGGCAGGCCGAGTGGCTCAGTTGGTTAAGTGCTCACTCAAGAGTTTGAGCTCTGAGCAACAGCGGTTTGAGTCCCGGCCTGAGCTGAGCTGCTGCTAAGCTGCCAACAGATGACAAGATGGCTCAGCCTAAATAAATAAATAAATAAAGTGTGTGTGTTTTTTTAAAAAATAAAAAGGCCTTATGGAATTCCTGTATCTCTCATGTCAGCTAATTTGGAAGAAATTTTAGTTAATAGCAATACCTGTCTATTTACCTGTCACTTAACCTCAGTAATAGATATCCAGGAGAGGTTCCTTCAAAACAAGATTTTTTAGGAGGTGTTGGACTCTTTAATTCTGGAGTATTGGAACACATTAATCAAAATGAAGGGCAAATAGACCCAGCAGCAACACCTCAAAATTCTTTAACTAGAAAAATCCACTTATCTAAAGTTATCATGAACAGTTTTTATTCCTTAAAAATTTTTTTCTTAAATATAAGAAATACTTTTTTTCCTAAGGTCAAGAATTAGAGTATCATAATATGCGTTTGTATAGATTTACAGAATGGTATCTTATGCAGAGTTGACATTTAGTAAATATTTACTTTTCCAAGATGATTATTTAAGACTTGTAAATACTGTAATTTTATATACCTTTTAAGATTATGTGCATACCAAAACCTGGTGAAATTGAATTTAATACCAGTACAGGCAATTTGGTTTATTTATGTTCTTCCTTGGTTTCTCTATATTTAAACCAGAGGGTTTTTAATTGAGTTGGAAAATCTCAGAAGACGGAAACAGAGCTTGATTTTAAGAACATTCACCCTTGGTGTCTTGGAAACACGTTTAGGGCAGTTGATACTTTATCACTGATAGATGTAGTATATTTTGCTTAAGTGTCATTGTATCAGTAGGTAGGTATTATAGAGGAAAAAAGTAAGCATTTTAGTTACAATCAGGAAATATTACGAAAGAAAAGTTGCATTCTAGATAATGAGAATTGACTAGTGTTTTCAGAAATACTGATTTATTCAGATTTGGTAGTTTGCTGAATAGAGAGGCAATAGCAATTAAAAAACAAAACCATGAACCTTATAGAAGGTAAACTCTTAATGGCCTGTTGACCTGAGTGTGCTCAGAATTGATACTTCTTTTAGCTAATGGGTGTGGTATAGCAATTTTCAGTAATTTTCTAAAAGTGTAAAAAGGAATTGTCTCTGAAGAATTTCTCAAACTTTAAGACAAGATCTCATTCTATAACTTGTTCAGTTCTAGAACGGAAAGTTAGATTATCAAATGAGTCAAGAGGAAACTTATAAATGTTCCCACTTAATATATTCAAGGTAGAATTTTTACATTTTATATATAGCCTGTTCTCATTATTTGTAGTCTAGTTATTTTCTATAAAGTTGCTGTGAACACTGAATTGGTAAATACTGAATCATTAGGGGAAATACAGAGTTAGGTTCCTGCAAGCGTCTGATCACATTTTTAAAATTAACCTTGTTTTATGTGTGTTTCCTTAGACACCTATTTAATATGTATTGTTGATTGTTAACCCTGAATGAAACTTATTTAACACCTATTTTCTCAGTAAGGCACACAACAGCCTACTTGGGCTTAGGAGCACTAGCTAGCATTTTATAGCTTGGCCATTTTAAACAGTCAAATCACCAACAAAAAGCACAAAAATACAAACATGGCACTCATAGTAGACTGTGAAAAGGACTCTTGTTTATAGTATGAGAGCTGAAATAAGACACAGTGTAGCTTTGTTCTACCTCAGGTGGGAACATGTGCATCAGGCAACTCATTTTTTGCTGCTTTGAAAGTGCAATGAATAATGATTTGGGGGTTACAAATATATTTTAGTGAGTAAGCCAGTTAACAAATATGGAATCAGCAAATAATGAGGATTGACTAATCATTTCTGGATTGATTACCTGTTTTAATTAGCTGAGGTTCTTTACCTTCAAAGTAGAAAATCAATCTTTGGTGGTGTGGTGTTTTGAACAAACTTTCATTTTTATAACATGAAGCTGTAGTGGTTTACTTATGTAAGTAAAATCCTTTCAGGGCACTTCTGAAATAATTTATATTTTTAAAAGATACATTAATTAAAACATTCTAAGGTTAGATAGTATTTTCAGGTTCCCTATTTTTCTTAAATAATTTTTTAAAGTGTTCAATTACAGTTGACATACAATATTATATTAGTTTCAGTTGTACAACATAGTGGTTAGATATTTCTATAACTTATGAAGTGATCACCCCGATAAATCTAGTACCCATCAGACTCCATATAATATTATGGACTATATTCCCTTTGCTGTACTCTGAATCCTCTGTTTTTATAGAATTCACTATTAATATTAGTACTCTTTCTGGTATATTTGGAAATTCCATAATTAGAGTATCAGATTAACCCAATGTTATACTTGGTATAATGACTATAATTCACTGTACTTGGTAACAGCTTATACCAATACTATAAGGGCTATAAAAACTCATGAAAGTACTGAACTAAGACCAGTTTCTTATTTTCTAGGTACAAACAGTTGCACAGCAAGTGGCAGAAGATAAATTTGTTTTTGACCTGCCTGATTATGAAAATATCAACCATGTGGTCGTTTTTATGCTGGGAACAATTCCGTTTCCTGAGGGAATGGGAGGATCTGTATACTTTTCCTACCCTGATTCAAATGGAATGCCAGTATGGCAACTCCTAGGATTTGTCACGAATGGGAAACCAAGTGCCATCTTCAAAATTTCAGGTCTTAAATCTGGTAAGAATAATATATTAAAATAGTTTGATAATTAAACTTTTTTTACATAATGTAACATGGAATATGGCTTCTTTTTTTTTTACTTTTTATATTTTTCTGGTTGCTAAAGTAATATGTAACATTTGAAAAAAAAATTAGATGACACTAAAACATTTAAAAAATGGTAAGTGAAAGACTTCCTTAGCTCCTCACACTCCCATCCTCTGCCCCTGGAGAGAACCACTCATTGTTCTGTTTGTATGGTATATGCCTTTGTAAAGGAATTTTTCTGAATTAGTGGGTGTTTTAATAATGAGAGGAATCTTCTCATAATATCTAATATGCACATCTATGTTTAAATAAACAGATAAAACAAATAGACTTGTATAGGAAATGAGAGTCCTTTTTTCTATGAAGTTTTTTTGTTGTTTTTTTTTTAAAGATTTTATTGGGGAAGGGGAACAGCCAAGTTGTTGTCCTTCAATCTTAGTTGTGGAGGGCACAGCTATCTCAGCACCAAGTCCAGTCGCCATCTGACCACCCGTTGGCAGCTTGCGGCTGCTCAGCTCAAGGTGCTGTGTTCAATCTTAGTTGCGGGTGGGCGTAGTCCACCATCTCATGTGGGAGTGGAACCTGCAACCTTGTTGTTAGGAGCACGTGCTCACACCAGCTGAGCCATCCTGCCACCTGTTGGCAGCTTAGCAGCAGCTCAGCTCAGGCGCAGCATCACTGGCCCATGTGGGAATTGAAATGGTGACCCTGTTGCTCAGAGCACGTGCTCTTAACCAACTGAGCCACTCGGCCAACCCT